AGCCACAGAATTCCATGAAAGTGTGATGCTACACTACTCTGCTATTTAAGTTAACAAGGAAGTTAAAAAATAACCACTATATATTCATTGGTACCAATCACTGAGAATTGTACTATTATATTGCCTGCTCATATGGTTAATACATGAATAACTCAATCATTTGAAATAAGTTCTCTTAAAAAACTCACATCATTTTACATAAAAAAAGGTTCTTTTATTTTATCTTTCATATTTGAACAGTGGGAGAGAATGGTCAGATAGAGCTAGTATGGCATATGACATCATTCTGGCAATCAAACCAATAGAGAAACAATCATAATCATCTTCCCATTCTCTTAATTTCTTAAATAAGTTTATCCTAGTCAAACTGTAAAAATAAGTTTATCCCAGTCAAACTGTTACTATATATATAAATATATATAGTAACAGTTGCTGATAATTATGGAGCAGTAAGAAATAAATTACAAATGTATAAAAACACTCCAGCAAGATGCCACACAATATTTAAACACTCCTTTAGGCATAATACACTGTCCTTCAGTTTATTTTGTTGTTAACAGAATAATGACCATTTAGGCGCAGCAACCCTGTAAAGTGCTAGCATTCCATATTCTTAAACATTATCATTAATCTATTGATTCTTAAGCATCAAATCAATTCGCATTTCCATTTCAAATTAAGCAAATAACATTTTTCAGTCTTCAAAAGCTCCTGTCTTCTGCGTATTGAACACTTGAACCTCATGAAAATAAATTCCAGAAACAACTCAAATCTTGAAATTTAAGAACAGCAGGATGCATAAAAGTATAAAGAATCAGATCAAATAAAAAATGTAGAAGAAACTTGAATAAGCAGATGCACATCAGGATTTTCATTTCAGATAAACTGTAAAACATTTCCTTCCAAAGAAAAAGAAAGTAGGCTTCTCCACCAAAAAAATTAAAAAGGAAAAGCCCCGACAACCAAACACATCATGAGGATCTCAACCAGTTCATAACATTATTTTGCATATGTCCTCATAACCAACTGTTGGTAAAAACCTTCCATCAAACACACCCTTTTCAATTTGCACCTTTGCACAGTATTTCTCTATATCTATAAACAATAAACGAGCATTTGATCCACAATAAGCTCCATTGACAATCCTAACAAGGCCCCCAACGTGGGGTATCATGGTCTCTAACTCTTGTTGGTCCACTCTAAGAACATGGCCTCCATCAAGCATCTTGATTTCACCAACATATTTGTCCACAACCTTGATAACAACCCCCTTCTGCTTATAATAACCCCTTTCAGCCAAAGCTTTGCTCATAACCTTCACAATAATTCCTTCATATAGCCAATGATCTTTTTTGTTTATTTTCTCCTCAGCAAGTGCAGTTCTTTTTTATGGTTTGCCCGCATTTCTGATTGACTTTTTATCTGGCTCATCTTCATCGAAGAATGGTCCCAAAACTTGATTTTGCTTCAACTTAGAGCTCTCTCCATTTTCGCCACCCCCAAAACAGAATGTAACCTTTAATGGATTCTCCTCTCTCTGCAATTTTAGGGTTTCATTAGATTCTTGTGGTTCAGGAATCAACTGCTAGCCCTTTCAATCTGCTTCATAATTTCTCTCTCTTGCTTCTCTTCCTCTGCTGCATCAGATTTAAGCCTCTTGTTTTTATGCCTCTCCTTGTCGCTATCAATATAGGTCATGAACCAACCCTTTGGGGTCTCTTCAACCTTACATTTACCAGTTCTTCCAAGGTATTTGACGAACTAAGTTAGGGTTGCCCATTGTGTAGAATTCATATGAACATGATGTTGATTTGATATGTACTCGTTGTAAATGACAGTGGCAGCCACTCTACTAAATCAATATGAATGGCGCATATGCTCCATAAAAGAATTTTCAAACTCCTCTGAATAGCCCATCAATGACTCTATTTGAGTTCTGCCTGAATACCAGCATCTGGCGCCGGTGACTCTCACTCGTGCAATGGCACTTAAAGCCATTTTCATCTCTGCACTGTTTCCTACACATCTGGCAGTACCATCTAAGTTTCTGGAGACCTTTAGCTTTTATCCTGTTGGCTATGGCGTTAGGAGTGAGGAATTCGTTCTTTTCCATTAGATACGAACCAAGGTGTTTGTACCTTTGGTCAAGAAACAAAAGACACCAGAATTTTAGAAACCCAAATAGACAAGTATGAGCCAAAGAAAACTAGAAACCAGCGGAAATGGAAATGGAGAGCCGAATTGCTCAAAACAACATTCAAGCATTGAAGCACTGTTGTCAGGATCAGACCAGTGGCCGAACTGCTAATGATAAGGCCACCGTTCGGATAGATTTATATGAAATATGCATTGAAATCAGCCCCACAATACATAGCCAAGGGAACGCTAATAGGTACTTATATTCAAAACAAAACAACTATTGAATATGTAATACAAGTACATGAAATGCACACCAGATATTCAACTAACATCAATTTTCAATCTCTGAAATCATAACCAAAACCACCACACACAAAAAAAAAATATGGGTTCTCTCAAACATTCAACAATCATCAAATGCAGGCTCCAAAATCATAACCAAACCACCCAGTAAACATCAAATTCAATCTCCCAAATCATAACCCGAACCCCCTTAAACACTTGAAAAATTGGGTTCCATCAACATTCCATCTCCCAAATCATGACCAAGTTCACCCAAACAAAAGTAAAAAACTGGGGTCCCTCAAACATTTAATAAACATCAAATTCAAGCTCCCATAGCATAAATAAACCACCCAATAAGCATCAAATTCAATTTCCAAAAACATGACTAAAACACCCAATAAGCATAAAAATCAAGCTCCCAAATCATAACCAAAATCACCCGATAAGCATTAAATTGAATTTTTAAGAATGGGAAGAGAAAGAAAGTACCGAAGATTAGGACTTCGCAGAAACGGTTGAGCGTGAGAGAGCTCTGCGATCAGGCTTCAAGTTGCTGAGAGATAGAGAGTTCCAGAAGGTGATGAGCGAGCATGGATTCTCCCGTGTTTCTTTTTTGTTTCGGCGGAACTCAAATTTGTTTTAATAACCGCCAAAACAACGACTTACCCAATTATAATAACCGCATGACTACATATGCGATCCAAGAAGTGTAAAGCATCCATCTTATAAATGTTAAAAATAATGGAAATTAACGGTCCAAAACTTTTTTACTCCAAAAGTATAAAGCATTTTCTTTTATTATTTATAGTTTTTATAATTTTTTTATTTTTTCATATTCATGATCTCCATATTTCAATATTATATCTCCTTAAAAATTAAGTCTCAAAATCCATCTCAAAAATAGATTTATTAATAGAACCACATTTAACTTACCCTTAAGGAATGGGGTTAAGTTGAGGTGCTAGCATCAGTTGAGACTCGGCTACCAGTTTAGGTTTCCATTACCACTTACTCATTCAAAAACTGCTAATTATTTCTAAAGATAGATAGGGGCATGTATTCCCCACTGATCTACACAAAAAAAATAACCACGAGATAGACTTGCCCCAATCAAATTAGCAAAATGATATACATAACACCCTACTAATGATTCTTTCTTTTTAAAGGAAAATGGTTATCAAAATAAGTAAACCCTCACCTCACAACTCATCAAAAATTGCAATTCAAGTGTTGAAAAAGTTTTAAATTGATCATCTAAGCTTGAACATTATGGTTTTGCAAAAAAACTAAGATTTCAAATTCTAAAATTAGGGATTGCAACAAATTATCTAGACCATCCATTTTGCTCTAAAAATAAGTGTTTACAAATCTGCATGATCTATACCATTTTTTATGTTTCAAATTTTATTGTGCGTTTCATAAATTAATTTTAGGGTCATCATGAAGATTTTCGATGCTGAAAGTACTTTCCAAATAAGGATTTGAGGTGAGACTTTATTTTGTTTCAAGCCCTTTTTAAAATATTCCCCTATTTATAAGGTACTTGCCCTACCATCTCTATAGTTTGGTCCCCTTTTTATTTTTATGACACGTCTCCACCCATACTTAATAATGTAGTATTTCAGCTACAAAGCAAATTTTCGAAGGAAAATGACTGGGCTCTAGTGGTAGCATCCCAACACCCAATTACCACATCGGGATATCCATTCCTACTACTAACACCCCCTATTAACACCTTCAAAATGTAACTCTCTAATCTATTGAGAAAAATGGATAGGGCCTATCTTCCCCATAGAATAACCCAAAACAAAAGCCAATTTTCAAAAAGAGGGGGGGAGTGGAGAGAGAGAGAGAGACCACTTTTTCTTTCTTAAAAGATAGAAGCATTCCATAGCCACCAAAAGAAAAATGAACAAAAACAAAGTAGAGACATTATTTCATAAGGACAAAGATGCAGTTTGTCACTATAGAAACAAAGTAGAGACATTATTTCATAACGACAAAGATGCAGTTTGTCACTATAGGTGGGCATTGCTCCTTGTTCTTGTTGTTGTTATTGTTATTTCTCTTGTGTGTGTATCCCTCTATGCGGGTGTGTGTTGGGAAGAAGAGGGAGGGGGGGCGGAGGGGAGGGGGGGGTGTGATCGAAGCATTCCACAGCCACCACAAGAAAAATGAACAAAAACAAAGTAGAGATTTCATAACGACAAAGACGTGGCTTGTCACTGTAGGTAACCTTGGTCCTTGCAGTTGTTGTTATTGTTATTTCTCTTGTGTGTCTCCCTGAGTACGGTTGTGTATTAGGAAGAAGAGGGGGGGGGGGAGAGAGACCACTTTTTCTTTCTTAAAAGAAAGAAGCATTCCACGGCCACCACAAGAAAAATTAACAAAAACAAAATCGAGACATTATTTCATAACGACAAAGAAATTTATTAGCAAAAAATAATTATTCATAATTATTCCAAACGGAACATCTTATTCAAGTATGCTAAAAATGTAAAGACCAACTTTCCTCAACTACTACCAGTCAGTGGATCAAAAAGACTGCCTTGTTTGGTACCTCCCAATTTCACAGTTTAGTTGTTGTTAATCTCAGTTTTGGTGGTGATTACCCTTTTTGCAAAAGATGGCAAGCAAAATGCAGCTGAATGAATCTGTTAGGTAAAAAAACAAGGTGAGATAAGTACAAGATAGAGAAAGAGAGACCAATTCTTTTTCTTTAAACCATATCTATAAAATCTGTTTTGAAACAATTCGATAACTCGTTAAGTTATTTGCCACCAAATTACCTCACCTCTGAGTTGTAAAATTTTAAGGGGTGTTTTGCAACACTGTTAGCTCCATCAATGGCTTCAATACGATTCACCGGACACTTGAAATCAACTGCCGGGCCCTCGGTTGAGCAGAGCATGAAACCAATTACCCCACTATGGTAATCACAGGATAGAAATGCTTAGAGAGCTCTTATGTGTACATATATACATCTAGAGAGAAAAAGAAAGAGAGAACCTACCAAAAAACCTGGATTCATTGGACTGACTATTGGAAAATCTGAAATAATCTACCTTTGGTAAGTGGGTACAGAAGTCCATGCATAGTTTACAGAGCCTTTGAATACTTGACGGCATACAGTAACAGTATCTTCAATAATCTGCGCATGCAGCCATATGCTTTCAGCCTGCGTGCAAACCACTCCACCAGGCCGAAGGGCTTTGGCAACTAACTCGTAAAATGGCTTATCAAAAAGCTCTTGGGTTGGTACTGTTCAAAATGTACAAAATGCAATGAGAATCCAAAAAAAACCTGGAGTGATGGGTAGGGAAAAAAAAAATATGATGGATGGTTAAGGAGAGAACTGTACCAATAGGATCACAAGAATCCACGATAATCACATCATAAGTTCCTGGAGGAACAGATTTGAGAAAGGCAGTCCCTGTACAGAAGACACCCATAAAAACCTTAAATGAATGAGGTGAAATTAGGTTTATTTAGTGCACTAGTCATGTACTACCACTACTACTCTCTCTCTGTGCTCGTGCACGCACACGCACATGCACACACGCGCATGTGAACTTGTGTATGCGATTACTTTATTTCCTTTTATCCTCCTCTACACTTGCAGCAGAATGTTGACAACAATGTTTTATATATCTCCTCATTATCATCACTGCCATCTTTTTACTACTTAGAATTTGGGTCATATGAGAGTGAAGAGTACCTAGAATTCATTTGGTACGCAATAACAAAAGGCAGGTGACCAACATAAGGAAAAGATGGAACAATACCAATTATTGCTTCCTTGAAAATTAACAAAAATTGTGTCAAAAAGAAAAATATTTTTCTGAGTTTTGTTAAAAAGATTGAATATTACCATCACCAACGTGAAGTGTAATACGAGGATCCTCATAGCCTACAGCTATATCAGGGAAAAATTGCTTGTAAACCTGGATAAATACAAAGTGTCAGATCCCTCCTATAGAAGGAGAAGAACCTCCCCCCCAATAAGTAATAGGAAGAAAACATGACAAGTTGGGTCACCAGTCTTACATTGACAACCATGGTGTCGATTTCACAAATGTCAATCTGCTCTACAGAAGCATGGCGAGACAGTTCTCGAAGAATCCCACCATCACCTCCCCCAGTGACCAACACCTGAATAGAGAGACCCATTCAACATGGCTTAAGAAAACAGCAAGAAGAGGACTGGAAAATTCATCAAAAAGTTGACAGGAAATTTATAAGGATGCTTCATAAACTCCAGTAGTTCTGTCGAAGAAGACTGAACCGTTCAGATGTAAGAAAATAGCATTGCAATAGAGAAAAAAATACCTTCTTTGGTTTGGGGATTGAACACAGAGGCAGGTGAGTGATCATTTCTTGGTATGCACATTCATCCCTTTCAGTAAGTTGAAGCAACCCATCCAACACAAAAGCCTTGCCATATGTAGATGACTGAAAGAAACAAATAGTAAATGAAATGAAAAAATCATTCATCAATTGGAACAAAGATAGCTCCACTATGAATTAACATTGAAGTATCACATACCTGGAATACCATGATATCTTGGTAAAGGGACTTGCCCTGAAATAAGATTTTCTCTACCTTCAAATAGTGTGCCTCTCCTACAAATGATATAATCAGCTACTGCAGTCTAGTTCCAAGTATAGACATCCTCTTAGATGAATATTAAAAAGGTAGGCAGTATTTTGTTTCTTCTCTTAAGCTCAACAACAATTATTTATGGGCAAAGAATAATAATGCAGGGGAATAGCTTTTCAAGAAATATGTACCAATTTAAAGGCCTATAAATTGATAAAGGTGTACATGACTAGGGGTGAAAAATCTATTTTTGAAAAAGAAAAATTATGTGTAACATAAACAAGCACAAAAGTGAGAAAACCTCAATTACTACATAACACAAGCTATGTGTTTTAGCTATGTGTTTTAGGAATGCACTAAAGGGATATATGGTCAAGTGATGGGTGTCACACCATAACATCTTGATTACTCTACCACGGGTAAGAGACCTTCCTTGCTAATCTACCCAAGAAAAAAAGCGATGCATTGTTTGCCATGAAGGGAAACAAATAAAAACAGCTTTGAATAATAGAACCTTTGCAAGTTATGGCCCTCAAAAGGGAAATGCAACATCAATGAAAGAAAACCGAGACCCATACAACTTATATCTAGATCAGTAAATTCAAGAAAATCTTAAACCAACCCAAACATGAATCATCCCCCATAAAAACCCCAAATCACATGAAAAGATAACCTTGACATTTTCTTAAAACGAGAAAATACATAAATTTCTTAGTTTATTTAAAACATTGGAAAATGACTTTCTCTTAATTTATAAATCCAAATGATAAAATTAAAATATCAGAAGATTCACAAAAAATTCACATAAGCATTCCAAAAAATCATATAAAATAAAATTAATTAATTTTGATGGGAAATGGATCCGTCTAGGTCTAAAAATTTATCAATATACTGGAGCACTCCACCTTCAACTGCTGACCACAATCCACTTAGTTATTTTAAACTAACCCCACAGTTCCCATGACCCACAGTCCATTGCAAGGGCCAAACCAAAGTCAGCCAATCGGCTAGGGGATGCAATTTCAGTATGTGAATTTCAGGTTCTCTCTCCTAAAGACAAAACCATGGTCCCCCAGACCATGATGCAATCACGACTCACTGGTGCATAAGGGTAATCTATTGCAGATGTACACGCTTCACGCCCCTCAATGGTGGATTACTATCTCAATGAAGCTATCTATATACATATCGTGTGATGATACAACGATGAGGTTTTAACCATGCATTCATCACACACAAGGGTCACACAGTCCCTCGGCTCTCATCCAGGCATACTCGACATCTTCTTGGTTTCATCTCTATGCCCAGGTACCTTGGGTTTTTTCAACTCAGCTAGCCTAGCACGTCGAGCCTAGTTCGAGTATCGACAAATAGCAATTGCCTAGTATGGTCTACAAGAGGACCACACTCCCATTGAGTTTATGTTTCACTATATAAAATACTTATACAAGCTCTCATAAAGCCTCTAAAGGCCACATAAACCCATCAACTCGGACTGGTCGAGTAACTCGGCTTTGGGAGAGTTTGGTGGCACATCATATTTTGTAGCTTTATATTTGACAAAACACAATTTTTATTTTTGGATTTTTAAGATTTTGAATAAGGAGGCAGCTGGCTTTCCATAATTTTTTAAGTACTTATTTTCTTGATATGTAAGTTTATGTGTATGTTTGACTATCAAACCGTATTTCAAATTTTTTATGGAATTGATACTTTTTATTGTTTGGTCGTCAGAAATTGAATTGTTATGAAACCGAATTTACATCGGGCATTTCATTTATCTGTCGAGCAATGGCCAAGTTACCAAGTATGAGTACCCAACAACCATGGTTATCCAATAAATTTAGAAATTGGTTTGTAATAGCTATTTTAGTAAAAGGGATTATATATAATGAGATCATTTACCTTTTATACAAGGTGGTCACAATTCCTTACAACCACTTGATGTGAAATTTGCTAGCTTCGATGTGTCATAAAGTTCGAAAAAATTTCTTTTGAAATTTGAGCTTGGTCAATGGAATAATTGCAGCCACCCAATTTCACATCCAATGGATAAGATTAATGTGACCACCCTATATCAAAGGTAAATGGTCTCATTCTATACTTTTCCTTTTAGCAAACACTTCATGATCATATATTCAAAAATTTCTAGTAAAGTTCTCATAAAATTTTGAACCATGAGAAAGCCTTCCTACAATGCGTTACTCTCCCCATAAGGAACTATGTGATTCTTGTTGGGTGAAGCTAAATCCCCATCCTAATAACCCCAACATCAATTTTCTCAAAAATTTCCTAATTTGCAAGAGCTCTAGCTCCATCTCCCCGAATCTCTTAATCTGGTTCAAACCCATTTCTCTTTAGCCCTTTAATGGCTTCCAAATACTGTAATCCCACAAATTTAATGTCCTATGAGCCCCTCACATAAATAAGTCCATTAAAATCAATGTGAGTTGATAATGGATGGTGAACCATTTTGTGAATCTCTGATGGAACAACATTAGTGTGAGAATTTAGGAGCATAAAGGACCGATGGATTGAGCTAGAGAGAGAATGTAAGTTAGAGAGAGAAAGAAGGAGAGTAATTGGGATTTGGGTGTACTATGTCTATCTGAAAATATTGTTGAAGCCTAGAGATAATGGTAGCTACTTCTTCTTCATGATGATGATGTAATGAGGAAGATGACTAGAGAGAAAAAGTGGGGAGTGTAAGAAGAAGCCATGGGCTCTCTAAAAAAGTGGGGAGTGTAAGAAGAAGCCATGGGCTCTCTCAACTAGGGAGGTTTACTAAGACACATCTGAGAGTGGGTGAATGAAGAAATGTTAAGGGGGTACCAAGGATACATGGAAACTAAAAGGGAAGGATAGGAGAGAGAAAGAGATAGGAGGGGAGGAGGTTGGATGCTAAAGAGAAATAGGGGAGGGAAAAAACTATATCCATCAAATATTTTAACAGTAGAAATAGAATGCCCCATCACAGGTCTTTAGTAGTTGAATCTTTGGGGGATTGAAATATGAGGCAATTTTTGGAATTTGAAGATATTTGATTTGACCCTTTCAAGCAAGGTACACAAAATTCTCTAATTAGAATTATATTAGATCTCATACTATTTTAAGATATCAAGATATTAGAGTGCCATCAAACGTACCCTTAATTATAATAATACTTCAAATATTAATTAGATATGTTAAATTACCTTTTCGGTGGGTATTTACACGTACTGTTGGACCCTATCAGGGTTCAAATCCCCCCTTTATATATACTTTTTTTCACAACATTCAAAAACATCCTTTTTGTTTGAAGTTTTTTAAAAAATAACCCTCAATAGAATGGAGCTCAAAATTTCTTGTAGAGAGGCCGATACCAATTTTTTGCTAGATGATAAATCGTGGCGATCATGTTATATATATCAGGCTTTTATTGTCATTTTTTTTTCTTTTTTTTTTAAAAAAAAGTAAGTTACTCGGACTCGCCCGAATATATCGCCTCGGCCAGGGCCCGAGTACTTTGACCGAGTCGATTTTCTGATGAATAACCCTCAATAGAATGGAGCTCAAAATTTCTTGTAGAGAGGCCAGGGAACAATAAACGCGATACCAATATGTTGCTAGACTATGTATATCAGACTGTTATTGTCATTTTTTTTTCTTTTTCTTTTAAAAAAAGTGAGTTACTCGGACTTGCCCAAATATATCGTCTCGGCCAGGGACCGAGTACTTTGACCGAGTCGATTTTCTGATCAATGAGGAAAAGCAAATAAAACAATGATATTGCAACTCAATTATAGTTTGAAACCACACAATAACCATAAAGAAATTTTATTTGTTAGAAAAATTAGAAAGGAGTAAAGAAAAATGGCAATGATTTCACACAACAATTTTATAATAGTATAATGCAACCATCTTCAAAACCCATGTTAGAGGTATTTGTTTGATACAAATTTTTAAATGTACGCTCTTTTCATTCTAAAGAACAATCACAAAAAAGAAGCTTTTGAAAATACGCCGTAGAAAGTGTTTTCCTAGCCCAATTAATATAAGCCGTCCATATTTGTGAGATGGTTAGATATAGGCCTTAAAATGAATTTTTTTATTCCCAAATTTTTTAGATAATGTTATCATCATTAGATTAACACTGCTAAAAAAAAAAAGTAATTTTGAATTTGTTAAGGCCTAGTTCTTGAAGTTCACCAAATGGACGGTCAAGATTCATTGTTGGAGGCTACTAATTTTGACCATATTTAAGATACAAATTGAATTGCTTTTTCTCATAGAATTGATTATGATGATGAAGAGAATATGTGTGCAAAATTTGAAGTCATACAAATGTCAAAAACATAGTTTTCTAAAGATGTGGTCGCATTATACTACTATACAACTGATGCATGAAAGCATTCTTTTAGAAAAATATATTGGAACAATTTAAAAAATTCCAAAATTTGAAGCCAAAGCCCCCGTAGAGACCACTAAAAAAGATCAAAGTACGAAAAGATTAACAAAATGAAGAAACAAAAGAAATCCCCGTCAATCAAAACCCAAAATATCAAGATAATAGGAAATGACACAAGCAAGGGTCAAAACACCAAGTTTTGCATAAAAAGAGCACAACCCAACACAGTAAAAAATAGTTTAAATTAGTAACAAAGATTGTTTATGAATAAAATAATACAACCAAAAGCATTGAAAAGCAGTTGAAGCATTGTTTTTTGACTCAACCGAGGAGGCTCAAACTCGACCTATGGGCCAGGCCGAGTACCATGTACCGAGTTTATATATATTTTATTGCTTACGCTCAGATCTGTACCGATCTATGGGATGAGATCTACTAAAATCTTTATAACACTGAGTTAAATTTGAAAAATATAGAGAAAGTTGGGTCGTTTGAATTATGGGCTCAGAAAAATCCCTGATCTATACAGATCCAATCTTTTTTCGAGTCCACTAGCAGCACCAGCTCCAAATTTATATTTTGACAAAAAAAAACGCTTCTAAATATAATTAAATCTAATAATAAATTAATTTTCATGATAAATAAATAAAGCAGAGAATTAAATGAAGAAAAACAAACTAAATTAAACAAAGAAAGAAATACCTAGAGACCCGAAACCTAGAGTTTCGAGTTTGGATCAGGCTGCTCTTCTGATTTGTGCCACCAGCTCTTTTTTTAGATACCTTATGCTCTGTAATTGGTAGATCTAAAATTTCTTAACCTAGATCTAAGGTTTCTAAGGTAGAGGAAAGTTAAGAATTTTAGGTAGAATCTACCTAGGCTTTGTTTTGGGATTGGAAGATAGTTTCTTTAGTTTTTCTAAGCATTTTGGACTATCCTAATACTGAAAATGAATTCTAGGATTTTTGTGATTTTTAGTGTTTTTGGGATTTTTTCCTAATTTTTTAGGAATTTTCTAATTTTTTTTCCATTTTTCGTAATTTCAAAAATTTCTAAAGGATTCCTTGATTTCCCTCATTGGATTTTCTGGATGAGGTTATTTATAAGATTCAATTAGTAAAGATTTTTTTCGGATTGTTTTGAATTTATCTTAACCCTTTTGCCTTTAGCTAATTAAAGAAACACCTTTTACTGCATCATCAAGCTACGTTTGGGCCTGCTGGGCCACGACACAGTTCTGCAGCCCGATACTTGGGTTTCATAGGGACTAAATTGTTATTTACTTGATTGTTTTACCGTATATCCCGATTTGGGTGATTCTTGCACTGTTGGAAAGCTTTCGGGGTCTACTTCAACTTGTGAGAGGTTTTGGATAGGTTTGGATTGAATATATTAGGTCTAGGTTGCCTATGGTCTACTAAAGTTTGTGTGATCCTTTGGACTCCTAATCGAGGTTTTTAAGAATTCTCTTAACCAAAATTTCAATAGGGGTCTACATTTATATATCCCCTTTCATAGTCATACACGATAGAGTGTTTTTTTCGCTAACTATTCAAGCTGCATCATTCTCATGGCAAAAGTTTCCAATCCCACCAGATTATTTCATTAAGCCATGGCATGTCTGACCACGGGATACAATGGCAGGTTTCGGCACCCCAAACTATTAAAAAGAGCCCATACACTTTATCTATCCCACACCGATACATAGACATCTTTAATGAAAATGATTATCTTTTCTTCTTCTTTTTAGCAATATTAACATAATTTTATAGATGAAAATATATTACAACGGTAAAATTATATCATCAAATATCACAATAGCATAACATGAAATACCATATTTAGTCAAAGAATTCACTTCTCGATAGGCATGGACGAAAGAGATAGGAAGCAATTGCGTTGAAGAATCTGTAGCCATAAGGACCTTAGTACCCACGATACCCTTTGTTCTCTTTTGCACTAGCTAATTATATCCATGGAATCACATTCAACAGTCAGACAGGTACCCAAATTTTTGGCCAAATAAATCTTCAAACTATGAAGGAGTGCAAGAAGCTTCGCATGATTTGTCGTGATTTCTCCAGCTAGACCAGCAAAGGTAAAGATAACACCTCCCCGTCCCAGTCTCTCATTACCCTACCAAAACCGGCCAATCCAGAATTCCCAAAGGAACAATAATCGAAATTAAGTTTTAGGCAACCCCGAGAAGGTGGAATCCAAATAAATCGCGGCTGGCATTTAACAAAGTTCATACGATAAAGATTATCCAGATTTAAAGCCACATCCACTTCAATAATGCCTTGCCCCTCAGATGTTACAACCAACCAACACCAGATGGAATGCTTAATAGAATTGACAACCCTATAAAAAGGTAAAAAAACACCTTACAAAGTTTTTCTACTCCTCTCCTTCCACACTTTTCAAATAATCACAGCTTTGGTAATTTGCCAAACTACCTTAGCAGCCTTTGGAAGATGAGGAAGGACAAGATGGGTTGCCGCGTCCAAAACACTTTGAGGCATTGCCAATAACACCCCAATCAAAAAAGAACCAAGACCAGATCCTTGAGACAAAAGGGCAGTGCAAAAACAAGTGAGCCCCTGATTCACCATGATCTTTGTACATGAGGTAAATGTTTGACAATATCTTCCCCTTTTATTTATTTTTTGTTATTCTCTTTTTTTTAACATGAGATGAACTGGGCCAAGTTACACAGACTCGAATGAGTTACATTGACTCGGCCGAATAACTCCCCTCAACCAAAGTCCGACTACCTTGGCCGAGTTGATTTTGTGGACTTTGGGTTAAAGTTAGAAACAACAATTGTTACTTGACAAAAGATTTTGTTTCTTAATAAAAAAAAGCAACAACCTAACTCAACTGGAAAAAAGNGGTACAACTTTATATATATATATATATATATATATATATATATATATATATAGT